GGTTAAAGAAGATCATTAAGATATATATATATATATATATAACGTTACAAATTATATAATATATTATATATATATATAATATATTATATATATTATTAATATATATATATAAATATAATATAATAATATATTATTAATATATATATATATAATATATTATATAATTATATATATATATATATAAGATGATTATTTAAAAGAGATATCCAAGCTTCTTTTTCTACAATTATGTTACAAATCTCTCGGAATAATGTCATTAGAAACAAAATTATTAACCAGCAAATCACATTAGGTGGTCCACCGTATTATTGATTGTAAGGGATACATTTTTTAACAAAAGCTACAACCTCATAGACATTGTGACGACGCTTTTCTTGGCAACTTCTCCAGCGGATTCGTGTAGCTTTTTATCCGAACAACTTCGACAGGATAGAAGATTAGGGTAGTTCTCCAGAATGACGTTGTACAGTCTTGGGTTACTGGCCAACAGTTCTAATACCTCCATTGGCACCTGCAATTCTCAAAAATAGATATTTCTTTACAATTCCTTTATCCTTTCCGCCAAGCTTTTAGATATTAGATAGACCAGACAATTTTTTCCCGAATTTTTGTTAAACGTAATTCTTAGAAAAAAATAATTTAGGAATGATTTATTCCCGAGAGAAGATTTTCAAAGTGTATTCATTTTCACTCTAACATAAAGCACGAAACATAATTTTGATTATTTGCATTTTGATAAAATTATTTTGTGCTGTAAATATCCATACGAATGTATACGCCAAAAACTAATGCAAAAATTTGAATAGTTCTTTTAAAACTAATTTTTAAAAATGGTTTAATATAACATATAATTATATATCATATATTATATATCATATATATCGTATATTGTACATATATATGTATATACAGGGTGTCCCAAAAATGTCTCGCAATCCGGAAATGGGGGATTCCTGTGGTCATTTGAAGTAACTTTTACCTTAGCGAAAATGCAAACAGCGACTTTATTTACGACTTATTAACAAAACACAGTGACCAATAAGAGGCAAGCTCGGTTGCCGCGAGGCGAGCCAGCTAACGGGCGCGCGAAGCCCAGCTCCGCTCATTGGCTCGGCCTTCTTGCGCCAACTGATCTCGCCTCTCATTGGTCACTGTTTTTCGTTAATAACTCGTAAACAAAGCCGCGGTTTGCATTTTCGCTAATGACAACAATTACCTCGACACCCTGTATAGTAATAATTTCTAAAAATCGGAATAATTTCATCGAGATCCCCAGATGAGGTACCTTTGTGCTCACCTTCTCGTTATGCCTGACAAAAGTCGGAAGATTAACGACGCTTCTGAACCTAAAATCCCCGTTATCCGCGTGCGGGTCCTCGGTGGTGGTACTGAGTATCTGCAACAAATACTCGGGCGCATGACCGCTCTTCAACATCTTCCTAAGCTCCTCGATCCCAGGGAACTCATCGGCGACACTGCCGGTGGACCTATCGCACTCGGACTTGGTTACCGATTTTTTCGGGGTGTTACCATTCTGCTTCTGCTGCTCCACAATCCACCACTCGGGATCTCGCATGACCGTGCCGCAGACGATCATATTGAAAAAGGTACCCGCCAGTAGCAGACAGGTGCCCCGCCATCCGTACTCGTCGATGAAAAACGTAGTCATCGGGGCGTACACGAAGGTACCGATACCAGTGCCGCAGGCACCGAGACCTACAGCTAGGGTTCGCTTCTTGTCGAACCAATAAGCGATGCTCACGACCGCAGTGACGTAGCACAAACCCAAACCGAGACCCGCGATGACTCCAAAAGTCAAGTACATTACCTCGATGGTGTTGCTGAAGCAGCTCAGCACGAAACCAAGCCCGGAGATCAGGCCGCCTAGAATGGTCATACTTCGGCAGCCATAACGATCCACCAGAGCGGACATAATGGGCCCGGACAGCAACGGCACCGCCATGAACAACGACCCGATCCAAGCCGTCTTCGACTTGGATGCGCCGAACTCCTGCAGGAACTCGATGTACAGTAACCCAAAGCTGAAGGATACTCCGTCGGCGATCATAGAGATGACCAATGATGCTAATACAACCACCCAGCCCCATCCGCCGTCAGGTACTTTCGGCTTGCTCTGCTTGGTCTTGCCAATCTCTTCGTCCTCCAAGTCCAGGACGCTGTCCGAGTCAATGGAGTCTCGAGTGTCGTCGTCGCGGTAGCCAGGATTAGCCGTGATGATAGCTTTCGAGTCGGCGAACTTCTTATTGTAGTCATCCTCATGGCTGAAATCCTCTTTCTCGAGCGGACTGGTGTCGAACGAGTTCGGCACGCTTTTGTTTGTAGGACTGGGGCCTAAGGTGAGATTCGGCGACGTTAGGTAACTGCGATCGATGGGCGTGGGTGGTATCCTGTCCTCGGTGCAGTCGGTACCCGGGCTGAGCAGATCGATTTTGTCTTGTAGATCGTCGACCAGGCTGAGGTTCTTGCTTAGTTCTCTGCCCAGCTCTAGCGAGGCTGTCAGGAAGGTGTCCTTGTCCGGTGATAAGGACTCGACGCTTCTGTCTATGGTGCGGGCGGGGGTGGATGGCAGAAGCCTCTCGCCGGCGAGACTGCTGAGGTCTTCGGTGTTCCCAGAATCCTGACAGATCTCGGAGCTCCTCGTGGAAGAAGCGACGCTCTGCGACCGTGATAGATCGATCGCATCCAGAGAATCCGGATCCGGGGTGTGACACGGTGTGCTCGGGAATACGGTCGGACTGCCATTTTGCCAGCCGACTATCGGCGCTTTTCTGTGTTGCCGGTGGTTCGAATTGCTTTGGTCTGTTTTGTAGTAAGGTCTTTGGTAGTGGTTCTGATCCTTCGACAAGCTTATCCCGTTCCTTTTCAGCGTGTTCACGGAACCGTTGCTGCAGAGGTTGTTGTTGTTCCAGTTGCACGGCGGCTTGTACGGGACGGATTGCCCGCTCGATTCATCTCCTTGATCGCATAAGACGTTCTCGTTTCGATCGGTCATGGTTCTTCTAAATGTAGGTGTTGGCCGAGTGACTCCAACGGCGGGGCCAACCTTTCAGCCCTTGGATCTCGCTGGGGAAGGATCGTCCGCGCCCTTCAGCTACCATAAGGACTTCCCAGCCGATCGGGGGTGGGTCACTAAACGGCGGTCGCTTCAGCATGCACGCTTCGACCACTTGCTTGTCCTGTGGAGAGATTCTCTCTATTAACATCTTAAAGAAATAGTATTCAATGGGGGTGTTACCCTAAAACGACGAGCACTTTACTTATTTGTATGTTTTATATAATTAATCGGTGATTAATGATAATCTTAAGTGAACTTTGAAAGTACAAATCGCTCGCTTTTTTGTCGCTCGAATAACCGACGATGATTTAATAGTTCTTTAATAAGCAAAGATTAACGAGGATTCTTTAAACGTTTCTTTTCTCCAATGGCGATAGCAGTTTAATTTGTAAGTAATATAGTCGAATAATTTCTATTGTGTGCTTGTTATCTAAAATAATAGCCGATCGGTGAAAGTATTAATTCATTTGTGGTGATTCTTATCGAACCGATAAATGAAAATCAATTTTAATTTGCAGCATTAGACGCGCTTTGAGAGAACAGAGTATTACCTAAGTCTTCAAGCAGTTATATATCTACAATCGTTAAATGATTATTAAATTAGGAAGAAAATCCGTTTTTTTTTGTCTTGATAGTAGAAATAATAGGTGAATTATGTAAAGCTATTACTGTCTATGTACGACTGTCAGACGGCATACAGCAGAAATCATTGTTAATAAAATATTTGTATTATCTCACCAGTTGGTCCAGTACTGGATAAAATAATATTTATCTAAGATAAAGAAATAAAACTATTTTCAGAGATTAATTACTAAATTGTGTTAGCATTAATTAAATCGAAGTGCTGAAACACTTATTTGATTTTACATGTATATGTAAATTATCTATATATATATTCTGATCTTGCCCCCCACTAAATGTAAGATCTATTTATATTTACATTTATTTCATAACTTTCTTGTTGCTTAAAACATAAACCTTAAAATGCTTATTCTGTGAAGTAAGCACTCAATTTATAGGGTGTACAAGATGTATATAATTATGTTTAATTATACAAAATGTACAAAATGGTAAAGTGCTCTATTATTTTGTCTCGCATTGTATGCAACTAGAAAAGTTAAATATGTAATGGTAATTGCTTTTTAAGAGTGCAATACGATTTTCGATAACGAATTATTCAACGTACGAGAGATAATCTATATTTAACATTGCTATCTATGTACAAAAATTAATCAAAGCGGAAGAATTCTCAAGTCACATTTCGCCTTTATACAATTCGGAACGTACTTAGGCAATTTGTTTTAAGAATAGCATAAGCATGTACAATTCGATGTTTTGACTAGAAATCAATTTTTCATTCCTCTCAATACTTTCTTAAAATAACTGTGGGTTGTTCAATATTGCATTTGGAATTGATCTTTCAAGACTTCATAACCCAACATTTTTAAACAATATGAGTCTATCGAATGGAACTTATTACAGGATGTTCCAAAATTATGGTACTTTCGAGAAATGAGGGGTTGCTGAGGTCATTTGAAGTAACTTTTCCTTTAGCGAAAATGCAATGCGCGACTTTTTATTTACGAGTTATTAACGAAAAACAGGGACCAATGAGAATCGAGCTCTCCTGGCGCGAGGCAGCCGAGCCAATGAGCGGAACTGGGCTTCGTCTGCTCGTTGGCTTGGCCGCCTCGCGCCAACCGTGGATTATATTTTCATTAAGGAAAAACTTGCTTCAAATTACCTCAGGAGCCCCTTATTTCCCGGAAATACTATAATTTTAGGACAGCCTGTATATAGAATATTCTGAATCGTATAAAAACGTTCCTCAAACACTCCAACAATATTAGTAAAGTGTCCTACGTGTAGCGTGAGTGTAGGTTCACAAAAAATGAACAATAGTGATCAGTGATCACTGATCATTAGACTGCGAATTTCTATGCAAAATCGAAATTTCTTGGAACAATTTGAAGGAACAGATGTTAGATGGTAATTAATTCTTTTCTCTTAAATGCTGTAGCAAATAAAAAACTGAAATGACAGCGTCTTCGGAGCCTTTATAATAGCACAAGCATCATAAATGCAGGAAATCCGTAAGTCTAGCGATCAGGTATATCCAATCATCGTATATTAGTAACATAAGCAAATTAGAAAAGAGGTACTAAACATAGCTGGAATAGAAGAACAGAACGATTTTAACAGAAACGAAACGATTATATAAAAAAAGAAAAGAAAAGAATAAAGTTTACTCACCATAGAGGTAATGCAAAATTACTTATTTCCAGGAGTGCATGCGTGTCTGGGTGTAAGAGTGTGCATGCGACACTGAACGATGTGAGCAAATAAAAGAAATCAATAAAAGGAGAAAGGATCTATAAACCATCTGCGCTAAAACGAGCTAAGCATATTGATGAAGGCTGCAAAAAAAGAAATTATTGCAGAAAACAGTGCAACTTTCCTGAAACAACACAAGCTTTACAAAAATCGTTTTAGTAAACTAAAATTAATTCTATAAATTAGTGGCGTTATGGGAACACAGTTTCTACGTTTTTTCAACGGACATATAAATTCACACATATTTACATATTTACAGCAGTAATTTTGTTAGAGAACAATTGAGCAGTTTATTATGCCATTCTATTATGAAAATGCGAACTGGAAATAATTGTACTGTACGCTTTAACACTTGACGAGTAATAATAAAACACTTCATTGATAATTAAACGGCGGATCTTTATGCATTCATGAGAAAAATGAACGGATGAAATATAAAGAAATGGAAGTATTTAAAGAATTTAAGAATGTTGATACGTCCCTATCAGCTTATTAAAATTATCGGAGAAAAGCAGAGCTGTTTCTTACAATTGATGCAGAAGAGTTTTATTTTGCATAAAGATCCACAGTCTACTGATAATATATTCGACCTTCCTGATTCTAAGATCTTCAACGTAAAAATGAAAAAAGACAGGCATAGAGATGTCATAGATATCGGACCACGATTTTCAGAAATCGATACATGTATTATTTTAAAACAATTTATTAATCATCGCTTGTATCATAAGTACAAGTAGAGAGGTCGGCTTCTGTGCTAAATTGTAGCATCGAACCTACTCAGAACAATAATGAATCATCTATGAAACAGTGATTGCCAAGCTTCCGTGGACGTCATTCACGTTTCGTCGAACGGTGCTCCGTTTTCACGAATTTCATTCAACACGAAATATGTATAATCGAGCAATTCGTCGGGCACGCGAAACAATAGTACTTAGAAAGGTGCAAAAAGAAGCGGTGATGCAATTCTTTCTGCATATACAATGCTCTACATATGTATACATAAGGCCATAGCTCGCTAAATTAATAAGCATCTACTTCGTTTATGCTACTATTAGAGATTAAAGAATTTTTATAATAATTGTGGTCTGCTGCTGCTTTACTTGCTATCAATATACATACTAATATACATATAATATTTTTAACGTTTAATAAATTCAAAGCAATATAAGATTTTTAATGTTCAACTTGGAAGATGTAATATTTTCCACATTCAGTAAGTTCAGAGAAATATGATACTTTTAACAATCCATAAGTTCAGAGAAATGTAATATTTTTAATATGCAACAGATTTACAATAATATACTATTTCTCTAATATTCGTTACTATTTATTATTACGAGGAATTTAACATATTTTTATAATTCTGTCATAAATTGAATTATCGAATTCTAATGAATCCAAAATGTTCGATTGGAGAGAATTTATCGTTGAAATCTTAATAAAACAATGAAAACTATTAACAATTGGCGCCATGAGTCATCATTACCAGTTAAATCTCATTTTACCATTCGCCTTATTTAATATACATATTTTCTTACTCCGTTACATAATGATTCCAATACTTATGATTCCTGGCACCATTTACGAATTTTCCAACAATAAATCTTTTCCGGCGAACCATGCCACCAGGTCAACAAATAGTGGTCTTTGGTAAGTAAAAAGGAAATGTCGAATAGTCGACTCGACGATTTATACTTTTATAGGAATCTATAAAGTTGCAGCAGATATCACTTCTCTCGACTCGTTCACATTATGTTTTAATGTTTTACGCCCTTATTTTCGCGTCGATGGTGCCATTAACTACACAATCTTGTATACGGCACTATTAAAAGCAAAGTATCGAAAGTTGTCCATGAACTCTATTAACGTAATTTTTTTTATCAATGTTTTTGAAAGCAGCTATTGACAGCAATCATTGACAAATATCTAGAAAATTAATGAACCGATTTAGTCGAAGTTTCTTATTCAACAGTTACTTTACTCCTAAAATAATATTATTACAACTATTTTACCGCTAAAATAAAATTCTTACAGCTATATTTTACACCTTCAAAGAACTTTTACATCCTGTTCGATTTGATCCCTAAAAAACGTCCGAAGCATGATCTCATTTTCATAGTTTTTAATCAATGTTTTACTACATCGTTTCAAGAAGATATTTTATTTCAGAGAAACTTTCGATACCAAATGCATATCAGCCTTTAGAAAACTATATGCATTTAGGACATCGAAAAAGATATATTCTTAATACGTTAAGCGTAGTCACCGGTGACTGACGATATAAAATGTAAAAAATTATATTCTTCTATACAAATCGATTTTAAATAATTCGGCGATCATAATAGAAGTTACCAAAAGAAGTTTTAATGAGTATTATTGAAACACGGTATTCGCATTTTTCGACATTCTTTCGGTAGTTTCGTCGTATTTTCGATTCTACTTTCAAGAGTACGATATTGTGATTATTGTCCGCGTGTTCGTACGTCTTGTGGATCGATAAGGCATCGTATATCATCTCCTATAGCTACACTACTAAGAAAATTTCCGTTTCGATCAACTATAGCGATTAAATTTTCCGCGTGGGCTATTGGCATTAATACTGAAACTACCGGACTCATTTCAAGTTCCTTATTTTACAATTACTGATATCACGAAGCTGCTTCAACGGACATTGTGAAATATAAGTGCATTTGTTCGCTAGCCTAGAATATGAAATGTCACGTTAACTGTTAACAAATTCATTTTTGTTAATTTTTGTCTTGCATTTTTTTTAATTATACGAATTTG